CCATCCGTCGTCTGGCTCGCCGAGGGGGTGTCTGGTGTATCTCCGGTCTGATTTACGAGGTGTGCTGAAGGTGTTCCTGAAAAATGAGATCCGTGATGCTGTCACCTATACTAAACACGCCAAGCGTAAGCGGCCATGGATGTCATCTACGTTTTGAAGTGACAGAGACGCACTCTGTTTGGTTTCGGAGTTAAATCATCAGCAACTTTGACAACAAAACGGCTCTTTTCAGGGCCACCAAGCTTATTACAGTAAAGAGTAGGAATAGAATTCATCTGCCTGTTTGTCCATATTCAGAACCAACTACCACACAAAATGCTCATGTAATCAAACTGGAAGCAGGGGTACAAATTATTTTGATCAACCTTGATCAACTTTGAATCGCCACGGCCGTATATTTTCGATGGAAGAAGCAACAATCTAGCATCTAATTCGACGAAGACGGCAGGAAACATTTGTGAAGCCGTGTTATTTACGAAAGAGAGTGTCGATGAAAAGAATCGATCAATGTAGATAGGACCTATTGAAAAGTGACGTGAGATTTGTTTTCTGTACTGAGCTCCAATGCTACCGACGCCAGGGAGGCAGCTCCCACACCTGGACCCAACCAATCGACCCATCAACTCAACCGGGGACCAACGGCTTTATTTAACGAAGAAAGGCGTGATCAGAGATGTTATGCCTTAGAACATGCCGGTGGCGCCGACTGAGATTGGACCCAGGCCTGCTAGGGTGAGAGGTAATCACGCTAACCACCGGCGCCGATATCTTTCAAGGTGATATCACGGCGAACGAGATCGACCCAAATTTGAGTTTAGTTATCTCAGAAATAAGAAATAAAGTGCAGAAACTCAGCGATGAGTAAATTTGCCTCATGTTTTCCCAGGTTTTTCCAGGATTTTCCAGGGAAAAATTCCCGAATTTGAGAAATGTAAAGATTGAATTCACTCCGAGACTGAATAAAATTTTCGTCAATTTCCTCATTTTCTGGCAGACTTTTTAGGTTTTCCACAGGAAACCATGAGACAAATTTACTCATCGCTGAGTTTCTGCACTTTTGGCGATTATGAGTGAACTAAAATCAAATTTGGGTCGTTCTCATTCGCCGTGTACGCAAAACGAAAAGAACCAGTGTAGCTACTTGATAGCAAACTACTATGGGAGGAGTCTTTGTAGCTTTTATACCACCAGAATCATTCCTCTTTAACCTGAAAAGATATAAAAGAGCGCTGCTGTATGGCATTAGCTCATTTTCGCTTCGAACAGCAATAGCAGCAGTAGGAAGGTGATGGCTAGTCCACACCTTCACACCTAACAAGCAACAATTGACTGGTCGTGGCAAAGGAGGAAAAGGTCTGGTAAAGGAGGCGCCAAGCGTCATTGTAAATTTCTTTGAGATAACCGTCATCGGTCGTCTGGCTCGCCGTGGCGGTGTCAAACGTATCTCCGGTCTGATCTACGAGGTGTGCTAAAGGTGGTCCTGGAAACTGAGGTCCGTGATGCTGTCACCTACACTAAACACGCCAAGCCTAAGTGGCCATGGATGTCCTCTTCAATAAAACGACCCTTTTCAGGGCCATCAAGCTTACATCCGTAAAGTGTTGTAATAGAATTTAGCTGTGCTTGTTTGTCCATATTCAGAACCACAAGCCCCCAACGACCACATAAAATGCTCTCCAGATTTTTAATCTTATAACCAAACTTGGAAGCAGGGGTGCAAGTGATTTTGATTGATTCTCTCAATCAATTTTCTCTTTGAAAAAAAAATACTACAAATTTGATACGCCTACAGTTCAAAAACGGAAAGAGTTGGGATAATAGATAATTGATCAATTAAAAGAACTAAATGCTCTTCACATTTATTCCGTCCACTAGCGGTCCTACGTCAAGCTTCCGTTCGTGCACCTAGGCACAGACCCTTCTCCTTTTTTTATTTAACCTTCTACTATTACATCAAATATTAAAGATCCATCATCACTATCGTGGCGAACAAAATAGTTTTTGCAATGATACAATAATTATTAAAATGTCATTATGACTTCTATCCATACAAAATAATCCGTTAGAGATAACTTCGCCAAGATGCATAATTTGTCAATTCATAAAAAAATCACTGGATAACTGTACAAAAGACAGTTTTAACGTGTGAAATGCAGTGTCTTTTAAATTCTGTAAGTGTTTCTGAACGTTTGATATGTCTAGGCATCTAGGATCAAGATCATGGATTTACCACTTTTATGGATGTTCCGGATCTTCTGCTGGACGGTCCGATGGCTATCTGGGTCCATGATCCAAATTCATTCTTATAACGCAGATCCTAATGTTAAAAAAGCGGAGCTCTAGGATCAGTTTTATGGATTGTCCACTTTTACGGATTTTCCGTATCTCCCGGAGAACGGTCCTATGGCCATCCAGGTCCATTTTTATGTCACGACCACAAAATCTGTCTTATATCACAGTTCCTAATGTTTTTTTGGAAAAAAAAAACTGCGGAGCTCTAGGATAAGTTTCATTGATTGACCTCTTTTACGGATGTTTTAGACTTACTAGAGGATGGCCCCATGGCCATTTGGGTTCATGTTTATGTCATGACCCCAAATTCTTTCTTATATCGCAGTTCCACATGCTTTCGAAAAAACCATAGAACTCTACGATCAGTTTCGAGGATTAACCATTTTTAAAGATGTTCTAGATCTTGTGGAGGACGGTCCCATGGCCTTCTAGGTACATGTTTATGTCACGACCGCAAACTAATTTATATATGACAGTTCCAAGTGTTTCAGAAAAAAAAAGTTTGAGGGTGGTGTACAAGACACGACCGCATTGTTGACGTAGGACTACGAAATTTTTGTTCGATTTTCTAGTCTGTACTCTGTATTATTTAACGGTTCGGACGATTTCGAAGATGTCGCGCAGCAGGAGAATGCAACGATGAGGGTTTCTCAGTTTATGAAAGTGAAACGGAATAAATTTAACACACCGATAAGACTACAAATAGAACATAATTTATTTCCCTAACAAATTATTTGATTTTTGTATCATTTTGATGTATTTAATGACAAATTGAATGGGTGAATCATGGGTTACTCTATATTAATTCTATTCTAACTCTTTTCTGAAATGAACTTGGGGCCCTAAAAAGGGCCGTTTTGTTATGTTGGTTATAAGTTTTAACCCCCGAAACCGTACAGAGTGCGTCCCTGTCGCTTCAGAGTATAGACGACATCCATGGCCGTGACGGTTTTGCGCTTGGCGTGTTCAGTGTAGGTGACGGCATCACGGATTTTTCTAGGAACACCTTAAGTACACCTCAGTACGCTTGGCACCACCACGTCGAGCCAGACGACGGATGGCAGGCTTGGTAATACCCTGGATGTTAATACGCAGAACCTTCCGATGACGCTTGGCGCCTTCTTTTCCAAGAGCTTTGTCTCCCTTGCAACGACCAGTCATTTGTCGTTGAACGGGTGAATCGAAACTAAGCCAAAAGCGTAGTTAGCAACCTGTTATATAGACACACAGCTCTGCCGGTACCATATTTTCTCGCTTCCCATTGGCTACATACAGTCATGATGATGCAGCTTTGTCGATATTGGGAAATTCTGCGTAATAACATCCAGGGCCTGCCATCCGTCGTCTGGCTCGACGTGGTGGTGTCAAGCGTATCTCCGATCTGATCTACGAGGTGTGCTGAAGGTGTTCCTAGAAATTAATTAATTAATTTAGCCTTAGGCTGGTTCGCCTCCGATTCCTAGAAATTATGATCCGTGATGCCGTCACCTGTACTGAACGCGCCAAGCGCAAAACCGTCACGGCCATGGATGTCGTCTACGCTCTGAAGCGGCAGGGACGCACTCTGTATGGTTTCGGAGGTTAAAACTTATCACGGTGGCCCTGAAAAGTTAGAAGTAATTTCAGAAAAGAGTTAGAATAGAATTTATATAGAGTATCCCCTGCTTCCAAGTTTGGCTACAGGATTACAACTCTGGAGAGCAGCGGCACCGGTGGTGTAGTGGTAAGCGTAATTACGTCTCACTCAGGTAAGCGTAATTACCTGGGTTCAATCCCAGTCGGCGCCACTGGGATGTTCTGAGGCATAACATCTCTGATCACGCCTTCATTCGGAAGGGAAGTAAAGCCGTTTGTCCCCGGTTCATGAGTTGATAGGTAGGGTTCAGGTGTGGGTAGCATTGGTGCTCAGCACGGAAAACAAATCCAAGGAAAAAACGGAGAGCATTTTGTGTGGTTGATGGGGGCGTGTGGTTCTGAATTGGCAGCAAAATGTTCCGCAATTGCATCCTCCCTATTCGTACACACCCGAAGATCAGAGGCGAATGTCACTTCGACTTGTTTCATCTAGGAACCATTCTCTGATGACTGTGTTCGGGAAGCAGCACATGCATGTACATAATTGGTGGAGTTGTTAGTTATTTTGAAGCGTTTGGACAATACTTGAAATTTTCCACTTTTTCAATAGTTTTAATTTGCTCTAGGATCAGTTCCATACATTGACCACTTACGAATTTTTCGGATCTTCCGGAGCAGGGTTGAAAATTCTCTGGGGAGAATCACCCGGGTGCGAGAGATATCATTCTCTTGGGTGAATCTCTGCTTGTCTCCTCGGAGATTTATCCTGGCACCACTGGAGAGATTGTTAGACACAGCACGAGAGAGTGAGAGAGTTGACTGTTTTCTGTTTGTCTGTTTATACACTCACTTCCGTGAGAAAGATGGCAGCGCTAAGGCGTTACTGTTTCTCCAAAGATTCTGGCAGAGCTTACGTGAGTGAGTGAAAACATCAATAAAAAAAACTGAAAAACGTATACAAGGGACAAAGTGCGAAATTATTCACGAAGAAAAAAGTGCGGTTTGACGACGGTACGCTACGGTCCACGTAAAAGGTGGTTGTGAATTTTCTGCTTTGCAAGGCGAATGGAAAAACATTCAAAGTGGACATGGTATTCAACTTGAAGCGGCATCTCGTCAATATTCATCGGGTGTTATGGTGTTGCAAGATCACTGCTCCTCTCTCCATTTTCGCTGCAGCTGCTGTGGCATTCCAAGTGCCTTCCATCGACGACATTCTCCACGTTAAGGACGGGCATCTCCCTTCGCAATGCCTCGCACATTTGACAGTCGAAGACCACATGCTCCAGCGTTTCATACACCGATGCAGGTACTTCCTGAAGCAGCCGTGGCCAGACAGGAACTGCATTAGGTGGAAGTTGACGTATCCGTGTTTTCTGTTCACCCAGGTCGAAAAAATCTGTATTAGTCTACGTGTCCATCTACCGTTCTCCGCCGTGTTCCACTCATGTTGCCACTTAGCCAACGATTCCGCTCTCACAACTTTTCTAACTCTTCCTGCATCTCTCCATCTGTAGCACTCGCTGTCCTCCGCTAGGGCGATGCTGACAGGGATTATTCCGGCGATTACGCATACTGCTTCTGACGAGATGGTTCTGTACGCACTCCCGACTCGCATGGCAATAAACCGGAACGTACTGCTCAGTTTCCTTTGGTTCTGCTTCGTTTCCAGCGCTGGAACCCAGGCTGGACCTCCATACCTCAGTATCGACGACAACACACTGGCCAGAAAACGCTTCTTGCTACTGCAGGGACCAGCGTTGTTCGGCATGATTCGCGTTGATGGCCTTCGAAGCCTTCTCACAGGCGTATTCGACGTGGCTGTTGAAGTTTAGTCGTGCCCCCCACGGTGATATCTGCCCGCTGTACCGTTTTACAGCTACTGGTCAATAGCACTTCCGTTTTGTGGTGGGCTATCTGCAGCTTCGCTCTTTGCATCCAGTTACCAATCATGTCGATCGCCTCGGTCGCCAACACTTCCACCTCTTCCAGCGTCTCGCCTGTTACCGTCAAGACGACGTAGTCCGCAAATCCAACGATCTCAACTCCTTTGGGCAGCTTCAGCGTTAGCACGCCATTGTACATCTCGTTCCAGAGCGTTGGACCAAGGATGGAGCCATGGGGAACTCCCGCTATGATCCTAATCGATATCTGTCTCATATCTGTCTGTCGACTAAACAGAAGCAAATTTCGCTGATGCACTTCCACTATTCGCATTTCCAAAATGTGTACATTATGATTTTACAAAAATTTAAAAAAAATGACTACATACTAAACGTTAATGGAAAAAGTAACCTTCTTAAGTCATCAACTTAAGTCATCACCGGGGTGATTCTCCCCGGTGAAGCAAACGAACTCTCTACGGTGCTCCCAAGTGATCACTCATATTCTCTGGTGTGATGGACTGGTGGAGGTGCGAACGTCAGAAACTGTGTTTTTTTGCGAAGTGGGAGAAGCGGTATATAGTGAAAACAAAATAAAGATCTCTCGGGTGAGTTTGCTTTTGTCGTAGTGCGAGGTGTCTTTTCAACTCATCACGCTGCTTACACTGGGGAGAATGGCATCCCTGTTCCGGAGGACGGTCCGATGGCCATCTGGGTCCATGTTTATGTCACAATCCCAAATTCATTCTAATATCACAGTTCCTAACGTTTTCAAGAAAACCACGGAGCTCTAGGATCAGTTTCGTGAATTTTCCACTTTCACGAATGTTCCGGAACTTCCGGAGGACGGTCTCATGGCCATCAAGGTCCATGTTTATGTCACGACCCCAAATTCATTCTATCATCTCAGTTCTTAGTGTTTTTCTAAAACTGTGGAGCTCTAGGATCAGTTTCATGGATTGACCACTTTTACGGATATTCCGGATCTTCCGGAGGACGGTTCCATGGACATCTGGGTCCATGACCCAAATTAATTCTTATATAACAGATCATAATGTTAAAAAAAAACGCGGAGCTCTAGGATCAGTTTCATGGATTGTCAACTTTTACGGATGTTCCGGATCTTCCGGAGGACGGTCCCATGGCCATCCAGGTACATGTTTATGTTACGACCCCAAATATTTTTTTATATCACAGTTTCTCATGTTTTCAAAAAACCGCAGAGCTCTAGGATCAGGTTCATGGATTGACCACTTTTACGGATGTTCCGGATTTTTCGAGGACCGTTCCGATGTCTCTAGAATCCATATAATTGTGAACATTTGTGCCGATTAATCTAAATTACAGATCTTGCGCCACTTGCGAAACCCTACAAACACATCTTTAAAAAAAAAACGTGTAACAAACTCTTTTCGCTTTTTTAAAAAGTAGACGACTCTATTGTCAATATTTTTACAATCAAGATCATCTACAAACTCTAGGAATTCTAAAGGTACCACAATTTTTGAAATTCATTAAGAAATGGCTAAGTTATGCCATTGCAAACTTGCCGTTATACGTTTTTTGGAGGCACCGTATTCGGAGTGTTAATACACATAATAAATCACAGGGGCCCTAATGCACTTCCCCGGGGCACTCCAACGTTATTCCCCACGGGAATGGACACAGAATCATTAAAAACAGTCCGTTGCATAGGCGTAGCTAGAGGGGGGCAGGCTTTCGGTGAAATGGCATTCGGCCAAAAAACCCTCCCTAGCTCGAAACCTGGCTACGCCCTTGATCCGTTGAGTTCTGACAGACAAACAGCTTTCAAACCATGTGTATGCAGTACTCGTAACCCCAAAGCGCTTAATTGATCTTAACAATAAGGGCCTAGAAATTGATTCAAAAGCGCGATTTAGATAAAAAAAAAAAAACAGCAACAATCGTATCTTTACACTCCAAGTTATTTTTCCACTTCGCTAATACCAAATTCAACACGATTTCACAAGAATGACCTTCCCGATATCCCGATTGTTCTGGTATCAACAAACTATTACTATTTATATACTCAAACAGCTGGCCTTTAACAACAAGTTCTAAAATTTTCTCTAATGTGTGCAACATGGGACGAAACTCTTCGGCTTTAATTCCAGAAACTTTTTGAGTAGAGATCACTAAGGTTTCCTTCCAAATCTGTGGCCATGTCCAGTTTGCAATGATTCATTAATAAGGTCCAGCAAGAAGTGGCCAATGACAAGAAAGCAATCTTGAATAACTCTAGCATTAACATTATCTCCTCCAGCCGTTCTGAAGTGACAAAGACACACTCTGTACGGTTTCAGAGGTTAAAACTTATCACCAACGTAACAGGGCCACCAAGTTCATTTCAGCCAGGTAAGCGTAATTACCTGGTTTCAATCCCAGTCGGCGCCGCCGGGATGATCTGAGGCATAACATCTCTGATCACGGCTTCCTTCGGAAGGGAAGTAAAGACGTTAGTCCCCGGTTCATGAGTTGATGGGTCGATAAAGGGTGTCCACGATGAAATTGCCACACTATGAAATTGCTCTAACTTTTTAACCGTTGGGTAGAATTTAATGAAAATTTGGGTGGATTTAGTTCATAGTGCATTATTTACATCCTGCAAGTTTTAAAGTCCTGTGATCAAAACTCGCGGAAATGGAGTCGAAAGAACAGCTCGTGCGTGATAAAATCTTGCGCATTCATCACGAGAACAAGGATCTCTCGCATCGTTCCATCGCTAAAACGTTGGGAATCGCGAATTCCACGGTGTCGCGAGTGATTAAGCGGTTCGAGGAACGGTTGACCACCGATCGGAAGCCCAGAAGTGAAGGAAAAAGTATTCCGTACAACACCAAAAATCACAACCGCGTAGTTGGGGCCTTCAACCGAAATCCGAACGCCTCCGTTAGGGATGTGGCTAAGAAGCTGCACCTAAGCCGAAGTTTTGTCCAGAAGGCCAAAACTAAGGCTGGGCTTCGAACGTTCAAGGTACAAAAGGCCCCTAATCGCGACGAGAAGCAGAACAAGTCCGCCAAAACCCGTGCCAGGAAGTTGTACCTCAACATGCTGACGAAAGTTGAATGCTGCATCATGGACGACGAAACATATGTGAAGGCCGACTTCAAACAGATCCCCGGCAACCTGTTTTTCACGGCCAAGGATAAGTTCAGCGTTCCGGAGCATGTCCGCACTCAGAAGATGTCCAAATTTGCGAAAAAATTCCTGGTTTGGCAAGCCATCTGCACGTGCGGGAAGCGGAGTGCACCTTTCGTGACCCAGGACACGATGAACGGACAGGTGTACATAAAAGAGTGCCTCCAGAAGCGGCTGCTTCCTCTCCTGAAGGCCCACAACGTCCCAACAATCTTCTGGCCGGATTTGGCCTCATGCCACTACTCCAAGGACGTGCTGAAGTGGTATGCGGACAATAAGGTCAATTTCGTGCCAAAAATGTTCAACCCTCCCAACACTCCGGAGCTCCGCCCCATCGAGAAGTACTGGGCGATTATGAAGCAGCACCTTCTTAAACGACCTAAGGTAGTGAAGACAGTCGAGGAACTGAAGAAAGTATGGGTTTACATGCAAAAAACGGTTGATTCACAGGTTGTGCAGAATTTTATGACCGGGGTTAAGGCCAAGGTGCGGGCATTTGCGTATGGACTGTAAATAAAATACGAGTAAAATGGTAAAATGAAGTTTAATAGTTATTTCTCAATCCCTGAAAATTTGATGGCAATCGGATGAAAACTCGAATTTTGCGAATCAATTTTGTGTGTGGCAATTTCATCGTGGACACCCTTTAGATAGGGTCCAGGTGTGGGTAGCATTGGTGCTCAGCACGGAAAACAAGATCGACGGAAAACAAATCCAAGGAAAAAAGGAGAGCATTTTGTGTGGTCATTGGGGACGTATGGTTCTGAATTGGCAGCAAAATGTTCCGCAATTGCATCCTCCCTATTCGTACACGCCCGAAGATCGGAGTTGAATGTCACTTTGACTTGTTTCATCTAGGAACCATTCTGGGGAAGCAGCATATGCATGTACGTAATTGGTGGATTTGTTAGTTATTTCGAAGCTTTTGGACAATGCTTGAAATTTACCACTTTTTCAATAGTTTCAATTTAAAAATCAACAGTCAGAAGCATTTTTATTGATGTATGTATGTACATATGTATATAAGGTAGCCACCATCCCTTCAAGACTTGTCTTGTATGCAGCTCCACTTAATAGCAAGATCAATTTGAGCTACCGATCTGAATTCACAATATCGCTGTATGAAGGGCCAAAAACGGAAGGGCGGACCCGTAAGCAGAGACACTTACGCGAAATTCACGGGAATTTAAGAATCTCCTTCCAACGATACGCTCCAACAAATCGAATAACACAATTCGCAATACTTATTAAGCTTCCTACTGGATGGTTTGTTAAGAAGGGCGCGTCAATCGCCCTGAAACTGTTGGAGTAGAATTCACACCACAACAATCGAATCGGTAGGATAAAGAAAATGATAGTGTTTATTCCCTCCTAGACTCCGGCTGTCAATCATACCATCGTCCAGTTTCAGTTTGAATTATATTTTTATTGATGCGTAGAAATGTTTCTGGTCGATTGGTGATAAAATTTTTGTAATTGTTCCAGGGGCAGCTAAGTTATTAACGTTCAAAATCTTTCATAATTTCATTTTTCGGTTTTCATAAAGTGTACCCTCATCTTCCCGAAAGAAGTAGCCCTACGTCAAAATAGCATATCCAACTATTTTATCAACATGATTTGGGGCCTCCCTTAGCTCAGTCGGTAAAGGCGCAGCTACAAAGCAAGACCATGCTGGAGGAGGTGGCTGGGTTCGATTCCCGGTTCGGTTTAGGAATTTTTCGGGTTGTAA